ACACAATTACATGGTTAATAGTATATCCCAACAGTTACTCCCTCTATTTCAAATTAATTGAATTATTGAAATGTTTCACATTCTTTAAGAAAAGAAGAATAAGACATAAATTAGGCATAACTTCCTATTTTTACCCTTATTAATTATTGTCAAATTTATGATTAAAATAACTAAACATTAATTATATAACTAATTAGAATACTAACTAATGAAAGGTAAAATTGGAAGAACATTCTAAAAGTAAACCTGAAGATTGAACAATTAAGTTAATTTGAAAAATAAAAAATATGTTAACAATTCAATTAACTTGAAATGGATGGAGTATTTCTTTTACTCACTTTTTATGTGACGACTCATCCACATATACCGTAGACACTAGTTGCTATTAGTTGAAAAATCAAACCATTCAGCTAGGGCCGGCGGTAGGGATGTACCCGAGAGGTGGAACATAGCGGACGGAGGCCTTCCCGACATATGTTGCAACGTCTGATGATGTAAAATCTTGTGTCAATCTATAGTCAAAACAATTTTGGTTTTTATATACTCACTTATAGCAAACTTGAACTTTTGCAAGAATATCAAATTCTTCAAGATATGTTTTTAAAAAGAAATAATACAAATAAAAAGAAAGAATAGCACCTATACGACTTTGACTGCGGAACTAGAACGCAAAACTAGGTAATCTTTTTAGAAATTGAGTGTAAGTGACTAAATAATTAATTAAAACAAGGCATCAAATTAAATGCGTTGATTGACTTCCAAGAAATAATAAGGGGAGCAAAAATGGCCTTCAAAGTCTTACTATCCTTTTGAGATGATTACACTTGTTTCATTCTCATAAATAATAAATTATTTCTTGGAGGTTTATATTAGATTAGTACTCTCTTTGTTCTTGATTACTTGTCTATTTTTGAACTGACATATCTATTAAGAAAATAATGATTGACATAGTGAGTTTTTCATTTTATCTCTATTAATTATGAAGTAGATGAACTAAAAACTTAAGATTTTCAAGAAGTTCTACCTTTTTCAAAGTAATTAATTGAAGATATAATAGGTAAAAAATTTTTGTCATTTCTTAATTTATCAAAATAGACAAGTAATTAGCTAGGGACAACTAAAAAAGGAAAAGTGGATAAGTAATTAGGGACAGAAGGAGTACTAAATATCATTTAATTAAATAGGGATAGTGTGATAAAGTATATCAATAATTGTTTTCTTAATGGGTATCAAGTCAAACAGTGACAAATAAAAGTGAAGGGATTTGGACTTTAATTAAATAGGGATTCGAAAGTCTTATTAATTTGAAAAGTCAAAGTTCAGATTTGGACTTTTATAATTTGAAGTTAAGCTTTGCTAAAATCGATAATTCTAGATCTCATGTTTGAATATGAAATTCATTCAAACTTCAAATCTTCATAAATGAGGTTTGAAACTATGTTTGCCAAAGCTTAACTCGGACTCACAATTTAGATTTCTATCCTGCATGTTCGGAATTTTTAAAGATTATTTTTGGTAGAAAAGGAAAATTATTTTATTATTGAAGTTGCATCGATACAATAGGGCTGGCTACTTCTAATGCAACGTAATTGTTCAAATCATGTGGACAAATTTATATCTATATATAAAGTTGAATATCAGCTCGCTGATATGGCATGCCTAAATGATCAGTATTACTATTTATCTATTTTCTCAGAATTTTCAATTTTTCCTTTCATTTTCTATTCAAAAATTTGTTAAAAACATTATTCTCTTCCTTCATTATGAGCATTTATAACAGTTAACCCTTCCTTCCAAAATAAATCATGCAGTGTAATGACTACAAAATTGTAGTAACTACAAAAGGAACATTAATTTGATTATATATTTATAAAAAAATTAACCGAAAAAAGGAATGTTAATTTGATTATATATTTATAATAAAATTAACATTAAACTTAAAAGGAATGTCAATAACTTTAAAAAGGGAAGGTTAATTTCATTATGTATTTAGAATTAATCTAACATTAACTTAAAAATAGAACATCAATAACTTAAAAAGGAACATAAATTTTGCTTAATTTAATTTGATTAAGTTACTGCTAAATTGGTAACTAGAATTATTCCAAAATAACTGATTGACTAAACATTAGTACTAATTATGAGATTTTATTTTTTCTTAAATGTGAAATTAATGATTATATGTTATATTCAAATCATAATTCTTCCTTTCAGTTTTTTTTTCATCAACCGTTTCGTTTCTTTATTTTCAATTGTTAATTCATCAACCATTTCGTTTCTTTATTTTCAATTGTTAATTACAATAGCTTTTAGCCTTTTACTATGTATTAATCTCTGAGTAATTATATTTTAATTAATTATAGGTCTTTTCATATTCTACA